TGACCCAAGCGGCCTCCTGTATCTTATGTCCCCTGCTTCCTGGCCTGTTTGTTGTGGTGCTGATCTCTGCCTCCGCTCCACTGAGGGGGGAAGTGTTTAATTCCAAAAGCACATGTCTGCAGCCAGTTATGTAAGAATAATTGATATAAATGGGCTTATTTATTGCTGCCTGTTCCATTTGAACACAGTCCATAAAGAATGTTAGATTAGGTTACGTAAAGCTCTGCACAGGGAATCCAATTGTCGGCCAGTACTGTGTCGCTAATCGTACCAGCGGCGCCTTGAGCTGCTCCTGCTGCCTTTGAGTCCTAGCCACCCTGCTCCTAGCATGGAAAATCCGCGTGGGTAGAGGGATTCTGCTGTGCATGCTGAGCTTAGCAGGACCCAGGGTAGAAAGTTGCCATGAAAGTACCGCTGTCCCTCTCCTGTTTAGGAGGGTGCGGAGGATGCTGTGGCACTGGTTTTCAAAAATAGTGCAGGGAATTGTGTGCTGGTGAAAGCTGCTGGGCTGACTGCCCTGCAGATGGAGAGTGGCGGGGCTGACGTCTCCACTTCACCCCCACTGGTGTTTCTCCACTCCTCCCTTCAGAGAGCTTTCAGCCCTTTGAATCCTGCCAGCAAGGTGGGCACTTGTGAGGATACTTCAGTGATGTGGGAGCCCATCCTTCACAAACTGGACTGAGCCTTCTCTTCCTCCCTCTGAATTCACAGAATCATAGACTATCAGGGTTGGAAGGGACCTCAGGAGGTCATCTAGTCCAACCCCCTGCTCAAAGCAGGACCAACCCCAACTAAATCATCCAAATAATCTAAATCATTCATAGCAGAAATGAAAGTTTTGTTTTGTTTTTTTAAGTAAGATGCTGGTATGCAGTAGAGGGACAAAAGTAAAATTGTCTGGGGGTTCAGCTGCCTAATTGCTCAACAAAACTTGAAGAATTACACTTCACTATGCCATCTTCCACCCTTCCGGGGTTCCTCCAGCCCTGAGCTCTCACAACCCTGCTGTAAATACCTCTGTCATCAGAGATGTTCTCACCTACTGCCCACTTACTCCTCTAGATCAGTAATCTATTAAATGCTGCTCCCTGCAGTACCCTGTTATTAGCCTCCCTGGACTCTCAGTAGCAGCTGTTCATTAACAGTGTTTCCTGTGTGTTTTGATCCACCTTGGGGCACTTCCGCATCGCCCCTTGGCTATTTATTGTCTTTAATAGCCTCTTTGAGGGATCTTGTCAAAAGCATTTTAAAAATCCAAGCAAATTATGTTCAACAGGGTCTCCTTCATCCAAAGCTTTACTGACTCTTTCAGAGACTCCAGAGCAGATTAGAAAGGCAGGGTTTACCCTCCTAAAAGCCGTACTGCTTTGACTTCATTGTGTACTCATCCCAAGTCTTGCCTTACTATGTCCTCAGTCTGACTTGTCAACAGTTTTCTTGGTCCTATGGCAGTAGTAACTCAGCCTTCTGCTTAAAGAATTTGTTTTAAAACTGTATTAACAAATCTGCTTTTCACCTGCCAAGAGGTGTAACTTCAGTAGGACCTTTCTACAATGAACTATCTTCATGGATTTTTCAGGCCAGAAGGGCCTGATCAAATCTAATATGGATTGTCTAAAATAAGCAGTATCACAAGGAAGGACCAAAGCAAGTCATAGTTATATCCTGTAGCTAGGAGTACAGCAGTACCATAAGCTGTTTTTTTATTCAGGGAACTTCTAACCACAGCCAGGATTGTAGCTGAAACAGTCATATTAGTGTAGCAACACATAACCATGCCTTAGATCAAGTAACTTGTGTCAACATAGGTGTGCTGGAGTTTAATGAAGGAGCAGACAGCCCAACCGAGCAGTGGTAGCAATCCTGCATCTCTGGGTTGCCTTTCAGCCAGGAGAGATCCTGAAGCACTTTTTGCCTGGCATCATGAACTGAAATCCCTTTGCCCAGTACAGAAGTGCAGCCTCCCTGGAGTGGAATGGGACCGCTCTCCAGAAGGGGATGAATGACTGCACAACATTAGGACAAGAAGTGAAGGATGGCGTTCAACCGAAACTACAGGAAGGGAATCTAGGCAGAGCATATTTGGCCAAGACACTAGGACTGTCATCCTTAGCTCGTGCAAAAAGTGCCATAAGATGGTTTAAAATCCTCATTCAAAAGATGAGCGCTCCAGCAGCACAGCCCCCCACCACAACCAAGCGGGGGCACTGGTTCTCCAAGGACACTAGAGAGAAGAATTGCCACCTATTTGGTCACCAGCACCACTTCCTACTGCCCAGGAATTTTCCAATGAAATCACTGCTCTAGTTTGACCGTGTTTCGTTTATGGGATGTAACGAGATCACAGCTTGAAGCCATGTGCAATGGAGGATGCTTATTGTTCTCTAAGGCAGAGCCTTCAGCCACGCATCCAGCATGTGCTATCAGAAGTCACCATATGCTGCCACTGCTGCCTCGGAGAGCACAGGCACAGCACTGGCAAGAAGGAGAACGAGCCTTGTGATCTTCCTCCGAGCTCCTGCAGCAGCGCCTGTCTGGCATGTTTAATCGGTGCGTGCTGGGAGTGTTCCATCAGCATACCGACCCCCCAGCCAGTCACAGCAAAGATTCGCCAAACAGCTTGCTAACACCCCCAGCCCCTTCAGGAAGGCTCATGCTGCTGCTTTTGCCTTCATAAATGTCCATCGGATGCCTCCAGGGGATATTTCCAGTTGCTGGTTTGGTTTACCTGATGGTGAGTGTCACTTTCTGGGTACTGGGGTGCAAACACAGAGATGGCCAGTGTGCTGAACACTGTCCTACAATCAGCTGGACAACGTGTCAATCTTTCTCCATCCAATTAAATCTTCATGAGGAATTTGCCCCCTACTTTAATGGGGAAAGAAAGGGGTTTTATGAATGCAACCGAGACAACCCCTGTATCGCAGAGCACCCCACTGTTAAGTGCCAAGTGCCCGGTTATGGCATGAGTGCTTGGAAGAATCCCAGTGGTGCACTAGGGGATGTTGTTTATAGGTAGCCTTGGAAGCCCTCTCAGACTGTGTCCTTCCCCTCCCTCCCCATGTCCTTGGGTCCTGTCAACCTAAGGATAAGAAAGGAGACACATTTCCAGCACTCAGTGCTACCCTGGAGCATGCTATATAAACAGGCGATAAGTAGCATCCTTGGTACCCAAGCCCACTTAGCACCCAGAGCTCTTACCTGAATAGGATTCTGGTGAGAGCCGGATCTAGTGAAGTAAGTCAAGGTAGAGAACCCAGCACCAGGCAGGATTGGGTCTGTTAAGAATCAACCCAGCCAGCAGGTTGCTAGTGGCTGTGTCTACAGTAGGGTATTTTCTGTACTGGTCCAGTTGAGCCCATGATCCAGTGAGAAATGTTGGTGAAAAACGCTAGTGTAGACAAGGGGAAAGCATCACTTTGCTGGCTCAACTAGCTGACCTCTGCTAGCGTGGTCCTCAGACATTGGGGACATTTCTGCACTGAAATGTCTCCCTGTAATTTTAATGAACTTGGGCAAGAAATTCTTAATGTCATGCACATTGGGGGAAGTCCCAGCCCCTTGCCCCCCCACACACACAACCCGAAAGTCTCTGCATGGCACGGAGTGGGCTCCAGGAGAAAGTGCATTGTATGGATTATTCTACATTTGAAAATAAAATGAGATTTGAAGTTTCTAAGCCTGTTTTGCCCAGTGACAAAAAGGGAATGGATCAAGTCCTTCTCCAGGTACTGAAGGCTGTTGGATCAGGGCTTCTGCTAGTACAGAATAGCAAAGCCAGCGTTGGGCAGCATTTCAGGTGTCCTTGAACAAACCGTCCAGAACCGTAGCGAGCTAGAGAGACATGGAGGCTTCGCAGACCAAACAGAAAATCCTAAAATCCAAACAAACACTGAGGAAAATCTGGGGTTTGGTTTTTAGTGAAAAATGTTAAAAACCTGGAGAATGCTGCAGTTTGCTAAGCAGAACATTCCGGCTGTGACCAGCTGAGCCCCCGTGATACAGCTTATGAAGCACCCTGTATCAGCAGAACTGTGCAGAGCTGGGCTGTTATAAAAGAAATAGTGGCAGAGTGTATTTGTAGGAGCATGTCCATCATAACCCCCAGATCACTGTGTTCAAGTGGACTGGGAGTCAGGAGACCTGGGTTTGACTCTTGACTCTGCCACATATTTGTTGGGTGTCCTTGCAGAACTCTCACAACCTGTTTGTGCCTCAGTTTCCCTGTCTGTAACATGGAGACAGTTCTTACCTACCTCTGTGAAGTGTTCTGGGAGCTGGGTGGGAGGCACTGCTCCATGGGAATCAAGGTAGCGGAACTAGTCCTCAGTTGGAGCACTAACCTAGGTCTGCACGCAGGCACCTTGAACAGCTGTCAAGAAATGCTCCCTCCAGGTCACACAAAGCCAAAAGCGATCTAGAGGGAGCAGTGGAAAACCCATGTGATATTTGAGTTGCTTGAGGGGGAGGGCAGAGAACGCTGTTCCGCACATCTAGAATACTGTGTTCCATTCTGAGCATCTTTGCTCCACAGGAGTATGGCAAAACAGAGGAGAGTCAGGAAAAGGCAACAAAAATGAGTGCGCTAGAGAGGCTGACTTACTGTCTGGGGAAGGGTGAAGTGCTTGATACGAGTAACTTGGGCAAACAGCCCCTAAGGATTGTGGGCATCACTGTCTCTGCAAGTATCTGAGGGTCCCAGCACCTTTCCGCATGGTGAGGTCTGTCTGCAGGACTTTGGACTGTTCTCCCAAGGGAGTGGTGGAAACTCCATTGGTTGGAACACTGGGCTGGTTCTGAACACAGTACTGGAGGGGGAAGTGCTGTAATGGCCCCTTGGGGAGCACTTGGATGTGACCAAATAGGTCTTGTCCATCTCCTATGTCTCTACACCACACGGGCACCTTCCGAGAGGGGTATGGTGTATGGATCTGCTATTGTGGTCACAGACTGGAGTAAATAACCTTCTTTCTCCCTTTGTTTCTCTCTTTGACATACAGGCAGCTTTGTCTGCTTCTCAATGCAGAAAACATCTTCCACTCCATGGCAGACATCCTGCTGCGGGAAGAGGACCTCAAGTTTGCCTCGACTATGGTCCACACTCTCAACACAATATTGCTGACTTCCTCCGAGCTCTTCCAGCTGAGAAACCAGCTGAAGGACCTGAAGACCCCGGTATGTTGAACAGGAACACTTCCTCATTAAACAGGCTCTCCCCACCTATTACCCTCTGTGTGTGTGTGCACGTGACTGAGGCTGTCATGTACCCAGGGCCCCTAGCGACCTTTGGGCAGAGTTGTCCCCTCAGGATGTAGGCTGGCCTCGGACAGGTTTCTCGTGGAATGAATTAAGGGGCAAGACTAACTTTGGCTGAGGGGAAGGATATACTGAGCCTTTTTCTCTGGCCAGTACGTAACCTCCGAGCCTCTTCGCTTCTCCCGTGAGTCTCGCTTGCTTGCTTCTTGGTGCCCTAAACAGAAACCCCATCTTAAGACTTGCTGGTAAGGAGCTGCTCAGTATTTTGTCTGGTGTCTACCTTACACTCGTGTTCCCCACAAGGTACGGTCGCAGGGCTAGTATTCAAGGAGGAAGAGAGCGTCATACAAGGGTTAGGATTTGGGTCCGATTCTTCGTTTTACCATTGACAGTGTGGCCTTGGGAGTCCTCTAGCCCAGTGCTTCTCAAGCTATCTGATGGGGGGGGGACCGGCAATTTTTTTTCCCAATGTGCGCGCAGACCAGCAGCCGATGGCTCACAGACCGGCACCAGTCCGTGGACCACCACTTGGAATAGCGCTGCTCTAATCTGCTCCTGACTCAGTTGATTTACTCTTGGCTTGAGATTTCCGTGGTAGAAGTTGAGGCTTAACAGTTGTATGGTGCTTTGAGGTCATAAGAACAGCGATAATGGGTCAGACCAATGGTCCATTTAGCCCAGTTTCCTGTCTTCCAACAGTGGCCAATGCCAGATGCCCCAGAGGCAATGAACAGAACAGGCAATCATCAAGCAATCTAGCCCCTGTTGTCCGCTCCCAACTTCTGGCAGTCGGAGGCTTGGGGACGCCCAGAGCATGGGGTTGCATCTATGACCATCTTACTAATAGCCACTGATGGACGTAACCTCCATGAACTTGTCTAGTTCTTTTTTGAACTCATTCATGCTTTGGTTCTTCACAACCTCTCTTGGTAATGAGTTCCACAGGTTGACTGTGTGTTGTGTGAAGAAGTGCTTCCTTATGTTTGTATTAAACCTTCTGCCTATTGATTTCATTGGGTGACCTCTGGTTCTTGTGTTGTTTACCCCTTTACATAACTCTTATTTACTTTCTCCACACCAGTCATGATTTTATAAACCTCTATCGTATCCCCCCTTAGTCGTTTGTTTTCTAAGGTGAACGGTCCCAGTCTTCTTAATCTCTCTTCACGTGGAAGCTGTTCCATACCCTAATGATTTTTTTTGCCCTGCTCTGTACCATTTCCAGTTGTAATGTATCTTTTTCTGAGATGGGGACCAGAACTGCACTCAGTGTTCAAGGTGTGGGTGTACTACAGATTTATATAGTGGCATTATGATATTTTCTGTCGTCTTATCTATCCCTTTCTTAATGGTTCCTAACAGGCTGTTAGCTTTTCTGTCCTTGGTTGGAAGGGGTTATCTATGTGCAAAATGTAACCATTGTTCTTTGTTATTGCTTGAAAGAAAGATGGGTCCAAGAATTGCGTGTGACTAGACCTGATTAATGTAGGGTCCGTATACACATTTCCTTTCTCATTGGAAGCCATAATCCTCAGTAATGTGACAAACTGTTGCCAAGAAAAGAAAAGGAGTACTTGTGGCACCTTAGAGACTGACCAATTTATTTGAGCATGAGCTTTCGTGAGCTACAAGTGAGCTGTAGCTCACGAAAGCTCATGCTCAAATAAATTGGTTAGTCTCTAAGGTGCCACAAGTACTCCTTTTCTTTTTGCGAATACAGACTAACACGGCTGTTCCTCTGAAACCTGTTGCCAAGAAAGATGCTGATATCTCAGGGAAAAAATGGTCACTTCGTTTGGGACTGAGCAGTTAGGGGTAGTGTGTACCTGTCTTTGTACACTGCATCAGTGATGCCGGAAGAGAAAAGCAGGTTACTATGTCAAGGAAGCAATGAATCCAGATTGAACATTGCTAGTTCCACTGAAGTCCAGTTTTGGACCTGCCCCAGTCTCCTGTGACTGGAATCTCTGTATTCAGTCTCTCCGCAGAGGAGTGGTTTTTCTTTTGGAATTCGATCCGTTTCCCCTTGCACACAACTTGTTCTGTATTTGGGTACTGCCTAGAGGCCTGAAACGAGATCAGGGCCCCGTTGTGCTGTGCTCTGCAGACACGTACAGTACCTGTCCCAAAGAGCTTAGGATCTAAATAGATGACACATGTGGGGAGAAATGGAGGTGCACTGAGACCAGCTGAGGTCCCATAGGAAGAATTGCAGAGCTCAATCGAATCTAGATCTCCCAAGCTCCAGACCGGTGCCTGGCTGTGGGACCCCCTCCCTCCCTAGGCTGGGTATTAAAGTTTCCCCAGTGGAAACTGGTGCCAGGGCCCTCTCTGCCAAGCTGGAGTGTGAATGTTTTTAATTGCTGGAGGCAAACGCCAGTAGTGTGCCTGGGGGGGGCCTGGAGGCAGTTCCAAGGTTTGCAGCCCCCTCTTCTGAGGGGGTTTCTGGTGCACTCTGCTGAGCAGAGAGCAGCCTTTGTTGTGTAAGCTGATCCCATGGCACACGAGCCTCTCTCTCATGGGTCCCCCACAGCCATTGGCACTCCTTAGCAGCTGACGTCTGCCCCCCAGTTCCCAAACCAGGCACGCTAGGAAGGGGACAGGTGATGGTGGTAGCATCACCCCATCACATTCCCCTCAAAGCCCTCTGCTTCAGCTGTTCATCCCTGAGAAGTTTGCAGTGCTCCCTGGGTCCCAAAGCAGCTGCTGCTGCCTGGGGAAACGAAGGCCCTGTGAGGCAGGGTGCAGAGATGATCTCTCCAGAAGCAGTTCTGGGGACTGAAAGGTGGAGAGCCTCCCCCGGTGCCAGCTGGAGACTCGACCCTGCACAGTCCCTGTGTCCAGGACAGCGCCCCTAGCCTCAGCCTTGGCTCCAGAGGCGGTGGGAGTGGGCGCTGCTGTGTGGTGGGGTCTGAGCAATAGCAAGGCCTGCCTGTGAGCGCGCTGAGCCTCTGCCCTTTGTGGAGGAAGCGTTAATGCTCTAACACAGCCGTAACGTTGCTCTGAAAGGAGACAGTTGCCCTGTGGCTCCCTGGGGGTGGGCTGCCTGGGAAGCTGACATCAGTTGAATTCTTTTCTAGACATCATCTGTTTTCCCAAGACTGCCCTGATTTCTTCAGCACTCCTGTTTTCTTGGTGTCTGAAGGGGCTGGCAGCTCTCCATTCAGAGCCCTCCCCCCACCTTCTTGTTTGCCATTGGTCAGGTGAATGCACCTCCGAGAGCTAGATAAATAACCAACACCTCCTGCAGGGGGCATCAGTTCTGGGGACCTCGATGTCACCCCTTCCCATTCCGAGGGAATCCTACATACTGCGCTGGCATCCCTCTTTCCGTCCCGCTGCCAGTCTGGGGTGGGGTCTGTGTCTTGTCTCCCTGGCACTCAGTTCAGAGTTCTCCTTTGTAATCAGGCCTGTGTTGGTAGACAGCCTTCAGATCCAGTCCTTGGGTGCGTCTTGCAGCTCGCCGCCCACACACAGGAGCACAGCAGGCTCTGTCAGCAGCCACTGTGCTCCTGCCTTTCATGTCTTTCAATCTGTGTCAAGATGGTGCAGGCTTCTGCCATGCGCTCTGCTGCTCCAAGGGGTTCAGACGACTCCTCTGTGGGCCAGGGCAGAGAAGGAGCCGACATGCCTCAACTTGTCTGCTGCAATAGGCAGCCTTCCCAAACCACTAACTACTAAGGAGGACTATTGGCTATTTCTGCAGGGGGAAACACCCAAACAGATGTCTGCCCCTCCTTTCTACCCCTTGCTGTGCCTGTGGTCCCCACCTCACAGAGCTCTCCGGTTCCGCACACAACAGCATCCACATGATGATACCAGAGTTAAGGGTCTGTCAGTTTCCTTCACAACCTCTTATTAGTCAGCTGTACAAATTCTCTCTGGCTTGAAACCTGGCAGAGAAGATCCCAGCCCAGGGGAGATTTCTTCCACTCCACCACAATTTTGGATAATACTAGGTAACTTTTGTACTGATATTTTTACAGTCATAGAGCTCCCCTTACCCCAAAGAGCTTTCATATAACAACTGAAATGCAGCCAGTGCTGGTGTGGAGGGCAGCAACCTAGTGCCACAATGCACAACAGTCTGCCAGCCATCCAGAGCAGGCCCTGTGTTCTTATAACAGCTGTATGAGGCCTGATTTCCAGTGTGCTCCACAAATGCTTGCATGAAAATGTATGAACAGTTGTGCATGAGTTTCACTGGCATTGACCACAGCTGTGCACAGTTATGGTAATTGCACATGCAAATAGCCAGGGAGCTGGAGATTGTCATTTGCATTTATAAATACCACAGCTTCATGCACTATTGCACAACTTCGGAGTTCATTGGTATGTTCAGAAGTCTGAAAATCTAGCCCTTACTATTGTTCCAGGGGAGCCACAGAATCCAGATTTGGATGGATGCAGGGTTGAGTTGGCCTTGCTGAGCAGTGACCTTCTGACTGCAGGCACTCTGTGTTTGGAACCTGAGGCCCTGCACACTATGCCACCCCTCCACCCATGGGTCTGACTCCTGATTGCTTTCTCTTCCCCCAGGAGAGTCGTAATCTATTCTGCTGTCTCTACCGCTCCTGGTGCCACAACCCTGTGACGACCGTGTCCCTCTGCTTCCTCACCCAGAACTACAAACATGCTTACGACCTCATCCAGAAGTTGTATCCTTTTCAGTGCTGCCGGGGGTCTCTGAGGGAGTGGGCAGGGGAAGAGCAGGAGGGCAGCAGTGGTAACGTTATGTAGTCTAAACAGGGCAGCAGACCTGCCAAGCTGACTCTCCCTGGCTCACAAGGTCAGAGCTGAGGAGCCAGCCTTGCCTCTGTTTTCATAACAAACAGTGGTAGAGTTAAACAGCTGATTAAGGATGGTCCCTAACCAGGCCATTTGCTATCCCCTGGGCCAGGAGGAAACCTCGGTATATTGTATGCTTCATTGTGTAAGGGAACTGCCTCAAGGGCCTGAGTTCATTGCCTGCACCCACTCTTGCAAGAAGCCCAAATAATTCTGAAAAAGTCTGAAACTCTCCCCTCTGGTGTGGTACCCGCCACTGGGGCTTTTCAGACAAATAAAGGGGCATCTGCAAGTTGAGAGAGCGGCCAGTGCAATGAATTGGTTCAAAATTGCTCTGTGCTCATGACTAGGACAGCAGATAATTTTCTCCTTAGTCTTCCTGCTGTTGCCCTCTTGTGAAACCAATTCTCTGTTCAACAGAGCACAGAGAAAGCAGTGAACCAACACCCCAGGCCCTCCCCTTTGGAGAGGAAGGATGGGCCTGTGGCTAGGGGACTAGCATGGGACTTTGGAGTTCTGAGCTGGACCAGCATCTTTCAGAATCTGTTGGAGATGGCCAGTGTCGTGACAAGTAGTTTCCTGGGCATGATGTGCACACATCACAACGACAGCCACTCTCTCCTTCATCCATCAGACGTCTTTGCATGGCTCTCCCCAGGAAACAGGATGTGCTTTAAGAGCAGCCTCTAAGAAGGTGGCAGTCAGGGTTGGGTCAGCAGCACCATTTCCATGTAAGCCGGGTGCAGAGAACGTCAGCTATTTGACTAGACGCTTCCAGCCAGGGGCCTCTGTTTGCCAGGACAGGTTGCTGTGAAGGACACGGCTCACGAGAGTTGTTCACACATGCATACACTTGGCATCTCCTTTGAAGTCATCCACCGTTTCACCTTTTCTGGCTGCCATTATTTTCCCCTCCCTTCAGATGAGCTGGGAGCTCTAGCAAACAGCATTCTTGCCCTGTTCCATAATGGTTTTGAGCGGGGAGTTGTATGATGTGGCTATGAACTGCATTTTTCTTCCTGCTCCACAGTGAATGACCTGATTGGTGACAGACTGCAGCAAAGATGTTGCTTCTGGGACAGTGGCTATGATGCCCCCGTAACCTCACCGTGAACAGGAAGCCAGTCTTCCACAGTTCCCAGTGACCCTAGTCTTTCTGGCTTACATGGGACAGTGAGTGGAGTTGTGGGTCAGGGATCATCCCGAGGGGTGAGCACCCGATCTGAGGGCATGGCAGCACACAGTACTTCACTTCTTGCTCTAAATGCAGCAGAAAGCACAAGCCCAAGCTCCTCTAGCCAGCAGGAGCTGGGAGCACAATGGTGAGCGCTCAAACCCTGCACAGGGTGGGAACGTAGGGTTGCTAACTTTCTCATTGCACAAAACCGAACACCCTTGCCCCACCCTTTCTCTGAGCCCCCGCCACCCACTCACTCCAGCCCCCTCCCTCTGGGCTCGCTCTCCCGTGCCCTCACTCATTTTAACTGGGCAGGGGTTCAGGTGCGGGAGGGGGTGGAGGCTCCAGCTGGGGGTGTGGGCTCCGGGGTGAGGCCAGAAATGAGGGGTTCAGGGTGCAAGAGGGGGCTTTGGGCTGGGGCAGGGAGTTGGGGTGCAGGAGGGGTGAGGGCTCCAGCTGGGGGAGTGGGCTCTAGGGCGGAGCCAGGGATGAGGCGTTTGGGGTGCAGGAGGGGACTCTGGTCTGGGACCAAGGGGTTTGGAGTGTGGGAGGGAGCTCTGCTTGGATTGGGGTGTGGGCTCCGGGAGGGGTCTCAGGGCTGGAGCAGGGGTGTGGGGTGCGGGCTCTGGGAGGGAGTTAGGGTGCGGGAGAGGGTTCCGACCTGGGGCAGGGGGTTGGGGTGTGGGGTACGGGAGGGGGCTCAGGGTTGGAGTATGGGTAGGGGTTCAGGGTCTGGGAGGGAATTACGGTGTGTGAGGGGGTTCCGACCTGGGGCAGGGAGATCTCTTACCTCAGGCAGCTCCCCGTCAGCGGCGCAGTGGGGCTAAGGCAGGCTCCCTGCCCTGGCTCAGCGCCGCTCCTGGCAGTGGCCTGCATGTCCAGCCCCTAGGCAGAGGTGCACTGTCTGCACCCGCAGGTGCCGCCCCCGCATTTCCCATTGGCCGCAGTTCCCAGCCTGCGGGAGCTGCAAAGCCGGCGCTGTGGGAGGCGGCAGCATGCACAGCTTCCCTGATGGCCCCTGCGGCCGCGTCCGGGGAGCTTGTGCAGAGCCAGGGCAGGGAGCCCGCCTTAGCCTCGCTGCGCCAGTCGGCCCCCCACCAGCTCGACCCTCTCTACACAGGAGGCATCCCTTGCTGAGGGAGTGAGAGTAAAGGCCTTGGAAGCGTTTCCTTGACTGGGGCTGGATAGTTTCTCCCTTTGGTCTGTTTTTGTGGGTGCAGAGAGGAAAGTGCCTCAGGGCTGAGTACTGACCTTTATCTCCCCAGCAAGGAGCGCAGTGGCTGGGGAAGAGAAGGGTCCCTCCTCCTGTATCATTTACACTTCCATGCACCCACTCTGTTGGGTCCGTTTCTGCAGCTGAGGCTGCTGCCTCATGCAGCTCTCAGAGGGGTCTCCCTTGTGACCTTAAAGCTCCACCATGCAATTCCCCACTGTTTCTTTTTCTATACCTGGTTATGAAGCTCAGTCCTGGGGGCCACCTAGGGAGGGCGAGGGCGAAGGCAGGAGTCTCCGGTCCCAGGCCCTTCGCTTGGAGGAGCCCCACACAGTGAGCAGCTGATGGCATTGTGCCAGCTGGCTGATGTCACTGACCCTCCTCTCCCCTGCTCCTGATGCCACATGCACCGTGGGAGCCATGTGCCCCCACCCCACCCCACCCCCCAGCTGCTGCTATGACAGATGGCTTGTGGCTCGCGCGCTGCGTTCCTAGTGCTGATGCTTGCAATGCTACTAATGTGCTATTAATATTACAGTAGCACCTATTGCTAGGTGTTGTATAAAGAGTCACTGCCCTAAAGAGTTTTTACGCTAAGCAGTGGAGACCCCGACACATCCCCAGGGCAGCCTATCTGTCCTTAGATCGTTGGCTGTGCCACAGAAACACCCTGTGGCAGCTTGGGGGTTGGTCCATTTGTGTTATAACATGGGGGAGGGGGTGTCTCCCTCCATGCGGACAGAAAACAAGCATTGTCCTGGTTGGATCTGAACCAGGGTTAATCACGGCCATTCCTGCAGTAGAGGTGGGGCCTATGGGCTCATGCTCTGTCTGCTGCTTTATTTCAGTTTTCAGCACAAGTGTGATCCAGCTGTCACCCTTCCTCTGAGATTCTCTGTTCGCCTTGGCCTCTGTTAGTTAAGCTGAGTGTTTCTGCGCTTGATTCCTTGGTTTATTTGGCCGGCTCGTCCAGAGCCTCAGAAATGCTTCCTTGTTTAGCAAGCCCAGGGCAGAGACAGCAGCTGAGGGCTCTGCTGGCGGGACCCAGACCAGTTTTCTGTGGTTCTCCAGTAGTTCCATTGACATCATTGTTTATGTTGAGCATAATGATTATTTCCATGTGCCAGCAAAACATGAAACTCCCAAAGTACATTTCCCTAAGTACTGGCTTGATAGTGATCTACATGATCCCCTCTGCTGTGCACTAGAATTCATCTTAGGAGATGGGAATGCTTTGGATTGGTGCCGCGAGAGCCCTGCGCTGGCTGCAAGGGGAGGCTGTGTCACAGTGCTAATGGTAACATTCGCTCTCCTTATGGAGAGCGCCTTGCAGCTACCTCTGTGGCCCACATGTGATAAACCCACTGCTGGCTTGAAGGGCAGCCTGACTCTCTCAGGTCTTGGAAAGACTCTTGGTTTAAAGAGCTGAGACTCTTAAATTCTAGGCCACCTCCTTACAGCTTCCTTCAACCTCCTACTTTGAGCCACTGCCTAATCATGCACCCTCCCCTCCCCCAGAATACATTTCTCATTTGTTGTGCAGCTTCCTGAAGGAACCAGCTGTTTGCAGCTTGCTGGTATGGGTGGATAGGTGGTGAATGGAGCAGTTACATTGAAGTAGGAGCTCAGGGAGGGTTTGTTAGAGCAGAAACCCAAATAAGCCACAGAGTGTGTGACACACACACACACACAAACGTAGTAATATTTTACTGCCCATATGTGGAAAAGACTCGGTCAGATTTCCAGATCAGCACTGACATGCACCCAGCCTGGTAATTCTATGCACACACTGGTTGCTGGGTAGTGATTTCCCATCTGCCTCTGCAGATGCATGTGTGATGGGCACAGCTGTACGTCGTTTTGGAAACCTGACTCTGATGTGCAGTGCCACCCCAGCAGACATGTGAGATGGTGAGGCCTCATCTGGAGTACTGTGTCCAGTTTTGGGCCCCACACTACAAGAAGGATGTGGATAAATTGGAGAGAGTCCAGCGAAGGGCAACAAAAATGATTAGGGGTCTAGAACACATGACTTATGAGGAGAGGCTGAGGGAGCTGGGATTGTTTAGCCTGCAAAAGAGAAGAATGAGGGGGGATTTGATAGCTGCTTTCAACTACCTGAAAGGGGGTTCCAAAGAGGATGGCTCTAGACTGTTCTCAATGGTAGCGGATGACAGAACGAGGAGTAATGGTCTCAAGTTGCAGTGGGGGAGGTTTAGGTTGGATATTAGGAAAAACTTTTTCACTAAGAGGGTGGTGAAACACTGGAATGCGTTACCTAGGGAGGTGGTAGAATCTCCTTCCTTAGAGGTTTTTAAGGTCAGGCTTGACAAAGCCCTGGCTGGGATGATTTAACTGGGAATTGGTCCTGCTTCGAGCAGGGGGTTGGACTAGATGACCTTCTGGGGTCCCTTCCAACCCTGATATTCTATGATTCTATGATATGCAGTAATTGGTCGCATGGAAGAGAGAAGCAGGGGGTAATCTGCACTGCATCTCATCTGCTGGCTACTTAAACTGTGGTCAGCGGTGACCAAGGATGCTCCTCTTTTTCAGTGGAATTTCCTTAACAGACATGTCCAGCGGGGACCTGGAGGTCACAGTGGATTTCCTAACTGAGGTAGACAAGCTGGTGCAGCTCATCGAGTGTCCAATTTTCACATGTAAGGATCATATGGAGCCCTTCCATAATTTGCTTTCTAGTGGCAGAGCATGTGTACATGTGTGGGGGAAGGAGCGCCCTGTGCATGTAGTGTGTTTGCTTGCTCAGGCTCCCTGGGCATGTCCCCTCCCTGCTCCTTCATCACAAGTGGCAGTTCTACACAAATAAATAGAGCAGAAGTTATGAGACTTTTTGCTGTGAGCGGTGTGAGACCTCCAGTAGAACAGTCCATCAGGGACACGCTGGATCGCTGCAGCGCAGAGGGAGGGCGCTCCGAATGCAGGCTAACAGTACTAAGCGCATTGGCACTGAACAAAGAGATGGAAAGAACAGAGGGGACCCATTTCAAAGGGTCCTTTTAGATTCACGTGCGTGGCTTCTGCACGTAGACTGTGTATAGGTGATGCTGCTGCTCAGGGCAGTGGCATGGGAAAGCTGCTACCTGTCTCTGCGCGAAGGTACATGGATGGAGGGATTGAGAACATTATAGTGCAATGGCAGCTCTGCTGTTGTGTTTGTCTCTTCTAAGTGCTCCAAATCCACTTGCTGACACAGGTAGTCTCAAACTTTGCTGTGCCTTGTGGGAACGTGGGGTAAGGTTAATGGTCCAAATTTGGAGTCATCTAAGCAAGGGGTTCCTGGGATCCACCCCCACCCTCCCCAAAAATCATGTTACTGAAATCACCTGGTTTTTGTGTTTTGTGCACACCTGGGGCTCAGACTATTACTCTGATTATCTCCAAACTGATCTCAGCCACGCAGGATTGAGTTTGGCTAGTGCGTGGTCCCCACTGCTCCTTGGGGGAGGATGGCAGATTTATAGTGAAGGTATTCAGGGTTATGTTAATGGACTCCAGGTTGGCATGTTAGTAGCTTGAGCCAAAGACAATGAAATGTTCATGTACAGCAAGCCTAGGGCTCGGTTCAGAGCCAAAGGATTTCCAGGTAGTATATTGTCATGAGAACTGTGTGGCTCAAGAAGACATGCTGTGGTCCTTGAACCTCATCTGTGCCCGTGTACTGTGGGTTCGAGCCCTACCTTTAGCAGCTTCCACAGAATGTAAGTTATGCGTGTCTCTTGCTGTCCGCCTGCTCCTAGGAGAAGTTTTGCACAGAGACCAAAATTTCTGGTTTGAGCAATATTTTAAAGGGCTCTAAAATCCACACGCAGACTGATTGACAAGTGTTGTCAAGGAAACGAGCATTAATAGAATAAAGGAAAGATATGACTCTAGGAATTGTGTAGTCATCCTGATCAATGGGGCCGAGTGTGATCAGAGGAAAGCAAATAGCTGGTGTTCTTCGAGATGTGCTGCTTATGTCCATTCCATTGTAGGTGTGTGCGCTCACCACATGCACCGGTGCTGGAAGTTTTTCCCTCAGTGGTATCCGTAGGGGACCAGCTCTGGTGCCCTCTGGAGCGGCACACGAATGCCATGGAATAAGGGGCACTGCCAGCTCTCTTCCCTCCCTCCCCCCGTTCATTCTTGCCAGAAACTCAGACATTGGGGAAGGAGGTCATGGAATGGACATGAGCAACACATCCCAAAGAACACCAGTTACGGAAACAGGTAACTGTCTCTTCCAGTCAGATGGACTGGTTCAGCCAGCAGATTTCTTTTGCCCCTCCTGTCTAAGAGACCCAGAGAGCAGAAGGCTGCTGAGTTACCCCAACTGCTTTCTGCAGCCCTTGGACAAACCTGACACTGCTTAACTTCCAAGTTGTGTTGTGATCTCAGCACAAGGGGATGTGGCTGCAAGGCACAACATGTAACAGCCTCACTAGGATGGGAAGCCCCTGAAGTGATGGACAAAGTTACTCACTGCAGAAAACAGCTGTCACAGTGGATGCAGAGCGAGGGCTGAGCTTCGCAGAGTACCTATCTGAAATTCAAGCTGGACCAAGGCACAGTATTACACATTCCTGCTTGGGACCTCAGCTGCTGGAGTCATGTGGGTACACTGGAATCTCCGCTTTCATTTAAAAACCAAGACAGTTTCTAGCCCTCATGAGTGGGAAGAAAAGCTTGAAAATGTGGCCTGAGTGTAACCAATGCAGCAACGTCTGCGTGCGTCTGCAGAGAGCCTGAAAGAACTGCTCAGAGAAGGATGAACTGTTCCATACTTCTCAGTGGGGTGCCAACTCCAAGGCCTACTGCTCTGAGAGCAGTCCCACTAACCCCACCCCAGAAGAGGACTTCATATATGGCAGGAGAAGAGTGCAGCAGACCTGCCCTTGTCCCCCCTCATCAGATACACTTGGCTGCTCAGGTGAGAGTGGGGGGGTGCTCGGTACTGCTCCTAATGGGAAGGATGCCCAGAAGCTTCTGCTGCTCCAGTAGTCGGTAAGGAGACCCCATGCAGCTGCTGCTGAGTGAGGGGTGGGGCTGTAACGGTGGCATGATGGGCTTTAGTCCAGCTCTGCTCTAGAGATGATGACCATGTCCCAGAGCATGTACACATATGGTATCGCCAACCCCCAACATACACAGATCAGGAGTCAGGCCCCCAAAGATCATGAGATTGGCTTAAAATCATGACATGTAAAAGCAGGTAGTTTGGGCGTGGTCCTTCCTTTTGTGGTCCGAGCTGGTCAGGTGCACATGAGACTCATGGTCAAGCTTTTCTCTGCAACCATGAGGCTAGAAACTTTTTTCTTTTAATTAAAAACTGAGTCTTGCATAATCATGACTCCAGGAGCTGGGACTCTGAGTGGAACCTTGGATGCCACCTGAATTGGCAACACTGCAATGCTGGAGCTGTGACCACGCTCCTGACACACCCAGCAGCAGCTGCTCAGGAAGGGTGGCGGGCAGCGTAAAGGGACCAGAGAGCCTGTGTGGCAAACTTCAGTGGTGGTAAGTTTGGGGGGAGAGGACAGTGAATTGGGTGATGGGCAAGGGGCCTGTACCAAGCTGCAGTTACCGACGCCCTGTGGGGCACAGGAGTTGAGCTGTCGGTGCCTTCTCCATGTCCTGGTGTTCATGTGTCTCAAGCAGCAGTGGCTGTCGATTTGGAGGATCCCTGTCCCGATTCTGGGTGGTGCTATCACACGATCCCAGTGCCATGTAGGAGACAGGCTCTTGACCATGTTAAATCTTGTGACACTTCACACAGTAACTGCAGATGGAAACTTGACCAGGGCATGCTCATCCATCCGGGGTGAGTGGGAGCCCCCAGCCATAGGCCTTCCCTGCTTTTGGAGCACTCGCTTGGAATGCTTACCCCGGCCGACTCGTACCCCGCTGCTCTGCTCCATCGCTCAAGTCGTGCAGCAGCATGAGTGGCCCTCTGATTTCAGCTGCCTCTGCCATTGGTCCAGTTCCGCCTAGATCAGTGGGACAGGCCAGCAGGATCTGCAGAGTGAGGAACATGTGATTTGTGACAGGCACTTTCCTTAGGTGCTCAGAGCCAAGAGGCAGGACTGCCTGATGTAGCTATGCTTGTGGTGTGAGATGGGAGAGAAGGAAACATGTCCCAAAGGGCCTAGCTTGACCCAGTTCCTAGCATCTCGGGCTACACCTTACAAGGGTTGGTAGCACAGTGCATCTGCTTCTCTCTCAAGCAGTGCGTGCAGATTCATTGCACGGAGCTGTCGTGCACCAGGAGAGTGCCTTAAAATGAGCTGGGCTGAGGTCCCCCCGACCACCTCATCACAGCTGGCACCTGGTTGGGTGCCCTGTTCTGTGGGTAGTGATTGCTTTGAGCTTGTTCTCCTGCCCACTTCTCTCCTTGAGCAGCGAATGGAGTCAAACTTTAAGCTCCATTTCTTGTCCCTAGTGCGACTACTGGCTCGTGGTGCTACATGATGAGAGGGTGCAAATGAGGCGAAGTTGCTGGCTCTCCACAGCAGAGTTTGGTGTTCTTGGGACATGGATGCTTTTTACCAGCTCCATTGAACAGCCAGGGTCGGGCGCCACAGCTGAATACACCTCCCTTCAGGCCCCTGGGAGTTCAGCAGGCCACACGTACACCATTGCTGCACCCAGCCACAGGCCCAGGAAGTGAAATACAGATTTCTGTGCAGCTTCACCTTCCCCATCCACGCTAAAACCCTAAACTACCTAGCACTCCCTAATCTGGGAATACCTATCATAGAATCATAGAAAAACAGAGTTGGAAGGGACCTCTGGAGACCACCTAGTCCAACCCCCTACCCAGAGCAGGACCAATCCCAACTAAATCATCCCAGGCAGGGCTTTGTCAAGCCTGACCTTAAAAACTTCTAAGGAAGGGGATTCCACCACTTCCCTAGGTAACGCATTCCAGTGTTTCACCACCCTCCGAGTGGAAGTTTTTCCTAATATCCAACCTAAATCTCCCCCACTGCAACTTCAGACCATTACTCCTTGTCCTGTCATCTGCTATCACTGAGAATAGTCTAGATCCATCCTCTTTGGATCCACCTTTCAGGTAGTTAAAAGCAGCTATCAAATCCCCCCTCATTCTTCTCTTCCATAGATTAAACAATCCCAGTTCGCTCAGCCTCTCCTCATAAGTCATGTGTTCCAGACCCCTAATCATTTTTGTTGCCCTTCGCTGGACTCTCTCCAATTTATCCACATCCTTCTTGTAGTGTGGGGCCCAAAACTGGACACAGTACTCCAGACGAGGCCTCACCAGTGTCGAATAAAGGGGGAACAATCGTCCCTCGATCTGCTGGCAATGCCCCTACTTATACATCCCAAAATGCCATTGGCCTTCTTGGCAACAAGGGCACACTGTTGACTCATATCCAGCTTCTCGTCCACTGTAACCCCTAGGTCCTTCTCTGCAGAACTGCTGCCTAGCCATTTGGTCCCTAGTCTGTAGCGGTGCATTGGATTCTTCCGTCCTAAGTGCAGGACTCTGCACTTGTCCTTGTTGAACCTCATCAGATTTCTTTTGGCTCAGTCCTCCAATTTGTCTAGGTCCCTCTATATCCTATCCCTACCCTCCAGCGTATCTACCACTCCTCCAGTTTAGTGTCATCCGCAAACTTGCTGAGAGTGCAATCCGCACCATCCTCCAGATCATTAATGAAGATATTGAACAAAACCGGCCCCAGGACCAACCCTTTGGGCACTCCGCTAGATACCGGCTGCCAACTAGACATGGAGCCATTGATCACTACCCGTTGAGCCCGACAATCTAGCCAACTTTCTACCCACCTTGTAGTGCATCCATCCAGCCCATATTTCTTTAACTTGCTGACAAGAATACTGTGGGAGACCGTGTCAAAAGCTTTGCTAAAGTCAAGGAATAACACGTCCACTGCTTTCCCCTCATCCACAGAGCCAGTTATCTCATCATAGAAGGCAATTAGATTAGTCAGGCATGACTTTCCCTTGGTGAATCCATGCTGACTGTTCCTGATCCCTTTCCTCTCGTCTAAGTGCTTCAGAATTGATTCCTTGAGGACATGCTCCATGGTTTTTCCGGGGACTGAGGTGAGGCTGACGGCCTGTAGTTCCCAGGATCCTCCTCCTTCCCTTTTTTAAAGATTGGCACTACATTAGCCTTTTTCCAGTCTTCCGGGACTTCCCCCGATCGCCATGAGTTTTCAAAGATAATGGCCAATGGCTCTGCAATCACATCTGCCAATTCCTTTAGCACTCTCGGATGCAACGCATCCGGCCCCATGGACTTGTGCCCGTCCAGCTTTTCTAAATAGTCCCAAACCACTTCTTCCTTCACAGAGGGCTGGTCACCTTCTCCCCATGCTGTGCTGCCCAGTGCAGTAGTCTGGGAGCTGACCTTGTTCGTGAAGACAGAGGCCAAGAAAGCATTGAGTACATTAGCTTTTTCCACATCCTCTGTCACTAGGTTGCCTCCCTCATTCAGAAAAGGGCCGACACTTTCCTTGGCTTTCTTCTTATTGCCAATATACCTGTCCCAGTGTTGGGTGGCCTTCAAGATGATCTCCTGCCGGAGCCTCTGGGTCCATCTCCTCCTTTATCCCTGTCTCTCACAGTCTTTGTTCTGAAATCTTGCTGCATCCCAGCCTGTTACCATGGAAATTCCTGTAATGCTACAAGCCCAGGACTGCAGGGCTGGCATAGAGTGAGGAGGGGGAAGAGGTGGTCTTGGTTGGTTCTCTGGTAACTGGGCAGAGTAACTGAGATGGGAATGGGTTAAATTAAAGGTGGAAAGTACATGCACTTCTGTACGCCCTCCCCCTACAGTGAGCCTTGCTGATGTTGCCTGAGCTTTGGGGTCACCAGGTGGCTGCCTGCCCCTGAGATGTCAGCTCAGATGTACTGCTGGGGAACCAGCTAACATCAGGTGGGAAATGCCTGGCCCTGGGCTGGGAGGGGAGGGACTCTCCAGCCATCCGTCCCGTGGGTCTCTCTCCAAGAGCAGTTTTCCAAGAGCTCTGAGAGCCTGCACATGAGCACTGCGGGGAACTGGCAGGGCTGGACAGGGAGAGTCCATTTCCATGAGGCAGACACAGAAATGTTAGTGCCATAGCTCTGACCCCTTTCGGGAGGGAGGTTCATTAACAGAGTAGGTGGGTGGGGAGAGATGATTGGAAGGGCTTCCCATGCAGAGATCTCAAAGCACTTTACAAAGGTGGGTCTGTGTCCTCATCATTTTACCAATGGGGAAGCAGGGGCCTGGAAGGGCAGTGATATGGCCAGTTCAGCAGGGGAGCCAGGACTACGACTAGCATAGATATACTGCAGGGAGTGACGTGCAAGAAATACAGTGGGCAGCAGGTCTCCAACTCGCATTCACACTCATGAGTAAGGATTGCTCTTCAGATCCAACTCTCTTCCTGCCGGTAGCTGGATCTGTAGGTCAGAAAAAGGTTAGTGACAGGAAAACCAATCAGAATTGGCCATGGGTGGTGCTCATTGTAATGCTGGCAGGGCAGGTGCTGGCTCATGCCCAGGTCCCCATGTCTCAACTGAACAATGACAAATACAGAGCTGTGACCGGTCTGGCTCGCTTGTGTGTTAGTGTTGTTGAAATAAGTGCTGGAATTCTAAGTATGTTTTAGTGTTTATGGAATGATTGTAAATTGCTGCCTGCGTTAATCTCACTTCTAGCATCCGTATCCCATACTGCAAGGTAATGTGTGTGCGTGTGCATTGTAAGCGTCTGTGACTGTAGCTCACCAGACAGGGGAGAGCCACGAACAAGTGTGGCGTGCTGGTCTCCAGCAAAAGATGTTAGCTCCTGCCCAGCGACACCAGGGGGACTAGTGCAGAACCTTAAAGAGGGCAAAAGACTCGGTTTACTTTCCCCAGCCCCGTGAAGATGGGAGGAATTCGCTTGCATGACTCATCAGTTGAGTTTGCAGCTCTGAGCAGAAAGGGGGAAGGGAATAAAAACCCCTGTCGAGGAGGAAAGGTGTCTTTATGCTGCTTGGACTCCGGGGGCGCAAGGATTACCAGGCATAAGCAGAAGATCCCCTGTGCTTAGTCTGGGTCATCCCTAAAGGACAAGTAGCATTTCCTTCGTATAGAAGCATCTGTTTCATTTTGAAACTTAAGATTGGAACTCATTGGTGTGTATGGTAGCCTGCTTTAACCTTGTCAATAACTCTTCTTTCTGTTTCTTAGTTAGTACATCTTTAGAGAGTTTGTTATAGGACTGGCTACAGTGTTGTCTTTGTGTGAGATGTAAGGTGCAATTGAGCTGGGGTCAGTGGCTGGTCCTTTGGACCTGGGAGTAATCTGAATATTGCTGTGATCCTGGTGTAA